CCAGCAATGTGCCCTGGTGGCCAAGAAGGCGAATGGCATCCTGGGGTGCATCAAGAAGAGTGTGGCCAGCAGGTCGAGGGAGGTTATCCTCCCCCTCTGCTCTGCACTGGGGAGTACTGTGTCCAGTTCTGGGCTCTCCAGGTCAAGAAGGACAGGGAACTGCTGGAGAGGGTCTGGCAAAGGGCTACGGAGATGATGAGGGGACTGGAGTATCTTTCTTATGAGGAAAGGCTGAGGGACTTGGGGCTTTTTAGTCTGGAGCAAAGAAGACTGAGGGGGGATCTTATTAATGCTTATAAATCTTTAAAGGGAGGATGCCAGGGGGATGGGAACAGTCTTTTTTTCAGTGGTGCCCAGTGACAGGACAAGAGGTAACGGGCACAAACTTGAACATAGGAAGTTCCATCTAAACATGAGGAGGGACTTCTTTGCTGTGAGAGTGGCAGAGCAGTGTCACAGGCTGCCCAGAGAGGTGGGGGAGTCTCCCACTCTGGAGCCATTCCAAACCCGCCTGGACGCCGTCCTGCACAACTGCTGTAGGTGCCCCTGCTCTGGCAGCGGGTGGGACTGGGGGAGCTCCAGAGGGCCCTTCCAACCCTTACCAGTCTGGGATTCTGTAATGGTTAGAGTTGGAAGGGACCCTGAAGATCATCTAGTCCCAACCCCCTGCCCTGGGCGGGGACACCTCCCACCAGCCCAGGTTGCTGCAAGCCCCGTCCAACCTGGCCTTGAACACCTCCAGGGATGGGGCAGCCACAGCTTCTCTGGGCAACCTTCACCAGGGGCTCACCACCCTCAAAGTGAAATATTTCTTCCTAATATCTAATCTAAATCTTCCCTCTTTCAGTGTAAAACCATTCCCCCTCATCCTATGGGTCTACTTGCTGATTAAGAGTTCCTCTTGAGCTCTCCTGTAGCCCCTTTAGGGACTGGAAGGGGCTCTAAGGTCTCCCCGGAGCCTTCTCTTCTCCAGGCTGAACACCCCTAACTATCTCAGCCTGTTTCCCCAGCAGAGACGCTCCAGACCTTGGAGCATTTTGTAGCCTACTCTGGACCTGCTCCAACAGGTGCCTGATGTTGTGCCCCCCCGATCTGGAGGCAGCACTGCAGACGGGTCTCCCCAGAGTGGAGCAGAGGGGCAGAATCCCGTCCCTGGCCCTGCTGGCCACGCTGCTGGGGGTGCAGCCCAGGATACGGTTGGCCTTCTGGGCTGCCAGTGCAAGTTGCCAGCTCATGTAGAGCATCTTATCAACCAATACCACGACATCCTTCTCCTCAGGTCTGCTCTCCATCCATTCTCCGCTCAGCCTGTGTTTGTGCTTGGGATTGCCCTGAGCCACGTGCAGGACCTTGCACTTGGCCTTGTTTAACTTCACGAGGTTGTCATGGGCCCACCTCTCCAGCCTGTCTGGGTCCCTCTGGATGCCATTCCTCCCCTACAGCGTTTTGACTGCTCCACACAGCTTGGTGGTGTCGGCAAACTTGCTGAGGGTGTGCTCAATCCCAACATCCGTGTCACCAACAAAGATGGTAAACAGCACTGGTCCCAGTACCGACCCCTGAGGAACACCACTTGTCACTGCTCACCACTTGGACAATGGAGCCCTTGACCACAACTCTTTGATTGTGACTGTCCAGCAGATTCCTTATCCACCGAGTGGTCTGTCAGTCAAATCCATGTCACTCCAATTTAGAGACCAGGGTGTTGTGCAGGGCAGTTGCAAATGCTTTACACAAGTCCCGGCATCAGTTGCTCTTCCCTTATCCACCAACTCTGTAATGCCGTCATAGAAGGCCACTATCTTTGTCAGGCATAATTTGGAACTTTCAGGTTCCTTAAACTGTGCTGTAGTACTGTATTAAAACAATTTACTAGCAGAAAACTGTTTTAATACCCTTTTTATATATTGAACCACTTCTTTTCAGAGATTATAGTTACTGTGAAGGACTGGGTACAGTCATACAGAATGCAGCAGCAGACTCGGGATGCAGTCTTTTAAAAATATACTCTGCAATGTTTGGTATGCTACTGTGGGATTATTACCAATGAAAAAAAAAAAAAAGTCCTGTTTGAATCTGAAATCGAGTTTGCCTAGATGGTGAACATGGTGGACTTGTGTGTTAATTTGTATTTTCTTTCAGTGTTTTTCCTAAATAGATAATATGACACACTGAATATGAATATTAACCTGCACATTGTCCTCCATTCTAAGAATGGGAAGAAAGGCTCGTTATGACGAATTAAAAAAATTAGAATGTAATTAGTACTACTTAAACTGTCTGCATATATATCAGTTGTTTCCTGCACATCATTATATTATTATTTAATTGAGTTAAGCTGATGGAGTATATAATTAGATAGGGCTATATAAATGTCCCAGAAAAAAAATCAGGCCTTTTTTTTTTTTTTGAATCAGCAATAAAGGAAATCAATATGTTACAGTGAAATCTCTCCTCTTTTGAACTATGCTGTGACAGGAAAACTTGCATTACATTTCAGCTGAATGTTGACTGCTCAAGAGTTCAGCTAAATGTGATTACAGGATGGAAATATTTCTTTTGTAACTTCAGTATTTTGTTGTTTGACACTTTTTGGTAATTTTCATTAGGTATTTCATAATTCGGTTTTCATGGGTTGTGCATTGATCTGTGAAAGGTAGGGAGCAGATCGGCTTGTCATATACCTGATTTTATGTTTTGTAGGGAATAATGCTGGCAGTCTTTCCTTTATTTGGTTTAGGATTAGTGAGAAAGGTATTACATATTAAAAGGATCCTGTAAAATCTTTTTGTTGCCTTAAAATTAGGTTGGAGAATTGGTGCTTTTGAAACGTAGACTATAAAAATAAATTAAAAGAAAAATACAAAGAATAAAATGAAAAAGATCAAGTCTTGTTAGCAGCTTTAATCCTTTCCTAGTTTTGATTTATTTATTTTTTTTAGCAATAAGCAAGGGTTTCTTATTACGCTTTCTACGCAGTATAAAAATATATTTTAACCGGATTGTAGAAGCTCTTTTCATGTTGGATGAAACAACTTTCAAAGATGCAGATGTTTGCTTAGCTGTTACTTGAGATCTTTATGGGCTGAATTCTGGTTGAGGTTTGTGTTTTAAAAACAATCAAGAAGCCCTGTAGCGAATGCGGAGCTGTTCTCCTCGGGATGCCGTGAACGCTGCTGTGTTGATCGCTTTATGAACACGTTTACATTGTTTAGGTTCAGTATACCTCCCCCCCTCCTTTTTTATTCTAGTTGGGCAAGCAATCTTTCCCCCTGTACAGGGGCATGAGAAATGTTTGTGCAATGGTTTTTTTTTTCAAGGCAAGGTGGATACTTATAGGTGAAAAAATTGTACTCTTCTGTGCAACCTCCTGTGCCTGTCTTCTGGACACTCATGCACTTACCGAGTCGGTGTAATTTTTCATCGTTACTGGACTTCAGTTTTCAAGCAAGTATGTATTTAAGAGCTAGATGCACATTGTTCAGATAAAGTATTTTATGTTGTGCAGGTCTGTCCAGTGCAGAGTGTTCTAGATAATATAAACATGAAAAGGAAAAGATTACTCTCAACTGTGGTTATTTATTACAAACACGTCGATGCAGTGTGGCAAAACAGAATAAAACCTGAATTCCCACCTATACTGTTCTTAAAACATATAATGGAAGAACAGAGAACAGTCTATGGTATTCATATGTCAATAGTTGCACAAGAAAAAATACAGTGTAATGCAGGTTTCATAATTGATATGGAGCGACGCGGTATACAAATGTGCTGGTGCTGTCTAAGGCCAGTCTGACTGAAGCGTGACGGTGTCTCGGGTCTCTGGGAACAGTGACATGCGGAGCTGTGACTCACTGGTGCTCTCAGCTCTGATGTCAGGCCCTTTGAGAGGGAAATGAGTATCATGAGGCCTGACCCCTTGAACATAGAATTGGCAACTTTTATCTTGGAGAAACAAATCCATGTGCTGGACTTCTAAATTTTTTTTTTTATTTTTTTTTAAGAGGTATGGTAGGGGCACAACCCATCATTAGTGAATTTATCTGGTATCCTACCGTTAAAATCTACTTGACTTTCCATTTCTGATCTATTATCAATTTAGTTTGATAACCCACTACTTTTCTTTGTTGACGGTCCTTTAAGACACATACAAGCGGTATGTGACACAAAATTAAAAATCTTTTATTTTTGCATTCATTTTAGGATAATTTTTTTTTTTTTTACTGTAGGTGGTATATTTTGCATGTGTATGTCTTCATTCCTTGCTAAAAAACATTGTTTTTTCAAATCTTTGGGTGAAACAACATTTAAACTTATAAATGTCTGAAACTTGCAACTGTTTGTTGTGTCTGATTCCAACCCTCTAATAGGTGATTTCAGCACTGTTTCTGTATGCAGTGTATGACCACATTTTAATTGGATTGGGAAATGTACTCGTTTCAGACTGTGAAGGAAATTTTAATTTTAACTTTATTTATTCACGCATACATACACTACAGATGGACTCCTCTTACTATGTAAAGTTAAGATCAGTGCTTATTTCTGGGATTAGAGTTAAATGCTGACTCTTCAAATTGTATTTTAATGCCATCAGTACACTCACAACACGTGAATTACACAGTTCTTGTTTAAAATGTCTTTGAACAGTTATACATAAAGTAGTGATTTAGACCCGCCTTAGAGCATGTGTCCAAAATGATATGCCCACTGGTCTTTCATGTTTTTTCTGTATGCTTCTTCATGTATTTTCATCTCCTTTTTTGTGTGATTGAATACAGTTACAAACCTGCATGTTTCTTTGCTGAGAATATGAATCTTGACTAAACTTTCGGCCATGTGAGAACAGGTTGGAAACCAAGATACTCCTGGGAACTTAAATTTCCCCACAAATAATGATGAACCTTTACAGGATTTTCTTCCCCCAGAATTTGGAAGTCCATATAGAGGTGGTGGAAACATAGTACGTTGATGTGAAGGTTAATAATTACCATCATGGGAACATGTGTGGCTTCTGGTCCGTGGATGGAAATTTGAGTATTACCAACGAGCTGAATTCTGCCCTGTTCAATCGTCCTGGGTCAGGGCACCGCCTCGTCTTGCTTACTGTTTTTGGAGTCCAACTAATGGAAGTGTGTTAATAAAGCTGCCTTTTGGCTGATTGTCCACTGGGAATATGCCTGCTTATTTGGAGACTGAATGAATGCAGTCACTGAGCTGGACATGAAGGAAGGATGTCTACTTGTCTTGTGTCTTGTATTTTCTCATGTGTCTGCTGGCTAGTGTTGGAGATGGCATATATGAGTAGGTTGGACCTTTAGTCTGACTGGCGTAGGTAATCTTATGCTCTCAAATTAGGTGTGGAAAAGAGGAATATGTCAACTCCATCTTGTGTTTTGAAGTAGTCATGTTGACAGGACAAGAGAAAACAGCCTCAGGTTGCACCAGAGGAGGTTCAGATTGGATAATAGGAAAGATTTCTTCACTGAAAGGGTTGTCAAGCACTGGAACAGGCTGCCCAGGGAAGTGGTGGAGTCTCTCTGCCTGGAGGTATTGGAAATATGGGTAGATGTGGTGCTGAGGGACATGGTTTAGTGGTGGTGTTGGCAGTGTTAGGTTAATGGTTGGACTTGATGATCTTAAAAGTCTTTTCCAACCGAAATGGTTCTATATTGAACACAAACCCTGTTGAAGAGCCCAAGTTGATTCTAGTTTATTTGTTCATTTACTCAGCCCAACTATTGTTTCTCACTTTGGTTTTGGAACATTTGAAATGTTTCATATTAAAAGTATTTTTGTTGAGAAAAGTTAAATTGATTATTATTTGATTGCAACAGTCAGAGCTACAATCTTATGATAATACTCAAGGTTGTAATACAGGTTGTAACAGTATCACTATTATAGCAATAATAATTTTGTTACATTTGGTAATACAAGATACCTTCTTTATGTTCTGAACAGCAGTAAGAAGAAGGAGTAATGTGCCTTTTCCTCCTTTTTTCCATAGAAATTGAACATTCATGAATGATTACTCACCTCTT